GTAACAATGGTATTGTTAAGAGAAAGCGACGTGCAAGATTTACAGGCGCAGATGCAGTTCTTTCGTTTTTGCGGGAAATCGAACATATTTTTAGAACCATCTAAAAATTTTCTAATTAGTCTGGAAACAAGGGGACCCAATTCTTGCATTCTGTGAAAACGGGTAAGGTTGACTGTAACGTAATAATCTTTATCTTAGTTATCGTTACTATTGCCCGAGCAACGCCGGGCCCACCTGCTAGTATTAAATAAGGATAAAAAAATTAGTGAAAGGAAAAGTTCAATCATATAGATTATGTATGAACTGGTACTGACATTAAAGAAGAAAGAACTGTGCTACATGTCCATTCTAGGATCTTCTTGATATCTGCAGGGACCTTCTGTGAATATGTACTTAATGATAGGTTCATAATATAGTTTAATATCTAAGTACTAAGTACAGTAACTATATTAATTTTTACAAGACTTAATAGAAGTTTGAGGAGTCTCCAAAATCCAGAAAAGCCTAACTGCAAAAGTCTAGGTCTTGTATGTATCGATTAGGTCTTTGGCCTGGTATTTGAAATAATCCAATATATATTGTATGATTCCCGCTTGTGGTAATACACATCTAAAGATGGAATTTGTGATTTTAAAGGTATGTTATGTGCTACTTGTATAATTCACAATTTTTTGAAATTCATATGTCAGGTTGTTGTGTATGTAAAATTGGTTTTATATGTTTTAGTTGACTGAAGATGGGTGAAATGAAGCCCAAAACGCATATATAAACGTGTATCAATGAAAACTGAAATAAAAGAATGAATAGTGCCAAGTGATCATTATTACACTACATTGTGTTTATAAAACAAATACAAAGATATGACACAGTTTCAAAACATGGAAGATATTTTACTTTGTTATTTGATATTAGTCTCTTGATCAAATTAACTGTAGATTATGTATTTGTGTATTGTTAGGTCTTAATCATATATATTATGGTTTAGAAACAATTTACAAACTGTTAATGTCAAATGTATTATTTAACTAAACTGTTCCCTAAAATCCATGGTGAAATAAGCAAATACACTGGGTGATCGGTTAATGAACAGTTCAGATAGTGAACAAACCGGATAACGAACACTTTCGTGAAAGATTTTTATGATCGGACAACAAACACTTTACTGAACAAACATAAAAAGAAGTGACGGAAAGTAATGAATATCAATTGATTTTCCCTTGTCTTCAGGTAGCAATTTGAAACCTTTCAGAACATGGCAGACGTCAACATTGACACTCAACTCGATACCGATCTGATAGTATCCCTCCAAATTTTGAAACTCTCCCTTGTAATTCCAGCTTTTTGTTTACCTTTCTGACAAATAATTTTTTATAGTTTTTGTGAGACTGTTGGATGGGCACTTGTTAAGTTTTGCTTTGGGATTTATTTACGAAAGGTGAAAGTTTAACATTTTAATACCAAATTTCGAATTTCCTTTCATTTAAATAATTTTTGTGGGCTAGTTGATTTCTGTTCTCCAAATTTTTGTAAGTGCTTTTCTAAACTTTTTATTTAAAAAAAGAAACTGATAATATGGAGACTAAAAAGAGGAGTGTCAAGAACTGTGCTCACCATAGAAACCAAGTAAGAGATAATAGCGAAGGTAGAAAGTGGGCACAAGATGTCTGATGTTGTTAGGCAGTATGACTTGAACAGGTCTACAGTAGGCACAATCTTAGCTATGAAATACAAACATTGCTAAACCCGATATATATAACATAACTAAACACCAACCGTATGCCGAAAAATTAGTAATTTAGTAATTTTTCGGCATTTAGTAATTAGTCTTAAACTAACCCGATAGATTTTTCGGCATATGGTTAGTGTTTAGTTTAGCTATGAAAGATATATCAAGAAGTCTCAAGCTGCTAATGGAGTAATGAAAATCGCATCTGAGAAATAACTGAGAAATATGAAAGATATATCAAGAAGTCTCAAGCTGCTAATGGAGTAATGAAAATCGCATCTGAGAAATAAAGAGCATTTTAGAGCTCATAATGGAACCTGAAACTGATCTGACGACAGAAGAACTCCAGGGATGTCAGAACAACAATCATCCAAGTGGCATCCAAACCAGAATAAGGTTAATGGGGTTGGGGATCTCTACAGTTACGATACTATTAATTACTTCCGAAAAATCTTGAAGAAAAGAGTAAAGCAATTGACATTGGACAGATTCTTTAACCCCCACAAACAGAAAAAACATGACTAATAAAAATGCAATCCTCTGGAATGAATTAATCAAATTCCTGTAAAAATCTATGTGTAAATTGATAATTGGTTAATTAATGAACAATTTGGATAACGAACAAAGCCTTGGAACGGATTATGTTTGTTAACTAATCACCCATTGTATTGATAAAGTTGATTTCATTCCTAATACTGTCTTGTCACACTTTTCAATTCGATAGTTGAAAATTTAAAAGCTTTGACAAGTCTAACTAATGAAATTAATAATAGAAGTATGTATAACACATGCTTTTCATTTTCACAGGTTCTGCTTTAGACAGGCCATTCTATGGGAAAGATCTGATGATAATGCTGAAATAAATGCAGTTTTTGGTTTTCACACATTTCCATCTTAAGAAGGTCTCTTGCAGGTTTTACGGTTTTACATATTGTATTAGATCTTCATGGATTTTTGTATAAAATTAAGCATTTACATTCTTGTATAAGTTTCAGATCAAAATATTTATCACACAGGTTTTAAAATTACTTCAGAATTAAATGTTAAATCAGAATTTAATTTCAGTCTTAACTAATTAAAAATTACCAAGTTCTTTAATTATTATTTTTTATTTTTAGCAATGGCTCACAAGCTATGAATCATCTGGTTCAAGGTAAAAGACACATGCTGGTGCAAGATTATTCTTCAGCAGTATATAGCTTACAAGAATCTTGTCAGTTATTTGGCAAGCATTATGGAGAAACTGCAAATGAATGTGGTGAAGCTTATTTTTGTTATGGAAAAGCATTATTAGAATTAGCAAGAGCAGAAACTGGAGTTTTAGGAAATGCTCTTCCAGGAGGTTTGTTACATATTTAAGATATTTTTTCTAAATAGTTCAACTAATAAAAATAACATATACAGTAGGCGTCATTTATCCGAAACTCAATTATTTGAACGTCAATTATCCAAAAGAATTCCAGTCGGCAAATTTAAATTTTCGCCAGTGCTGTGGCGCTGCAATCTTTGGCTATGTCTTGGGCTACTCAAATATTTTACATTTTTGATACTAAATTAACTTCTGAAGTATAATTTTTTTATTGTTTTTATATTTTTCAATATTTTTATTATGTACAAAATAAAAAAATAATTTTTAACGATACAATAGTCTTTGTTAGGCTTAACATCAATGAAAATTCAACGTAAAGCGACACGCAACGGAGAAAAATTTCAACATGGGATAGGTTAATATATTTTTTTGTACATAATCTGTTGTCCGAAATATCGATTTTTCGAACAACCCCAGTCCCCAATTGATTCGGATAAACAACACGCTACTGTATTTAATTTTGTACTGTACCTGTAAAATCACTTTCATATTTATTTTAGTTTTTATCCTGAAATGTTAAATGAGCTCTTTCTGAATTAATCTTTTAATTTCTGATGAAATTAAAATTAAGCTTTTAAACAGCTATGCTTCTATTGATTTTTTTTGGTGAATTGCTAGAAGTTAATAAATAATTGCTAAAAGTTGATAAATAAATTACTAAATATGAATTAAATGTGAATTGTTAAAGTTAATAAATGTTACTAATTAAACTGTGAATATAAATTGCTAAAAGTTAATAAATAATTGATGTAAAATTTAATACAGTAGAACCTCGAAAACTCGGCCTAATGTGGACCGAAGGGTGGCCGAGTTTGTGAAAATGCCGGGTTATCGGGAATGGGGTTAAAAAAGGATAAGTATGCGTGTTTCCTCAGAAAATACTGTACTGTACTTGAATGTATTGTTTGCTTCAGAATACAACAGAGAATAAACTGCCCAAATACCCTTATACCTGATAAGACAGACCTCAGAAAAATACTTTGAGGCATAAAGCTGTCTATAATGAAAATTAATTAACTAAGGATTTTTTTGCCCTGCCAGGGTGTGGCCGAGTTATCTGGAGTGCCGGGTTATCGAGAGCCGAGTTTTCGAGGTTCTACTGTATATAATATGTTAAAGATATTAATTATGGTTTATCATTGTTTATTTACATGAAGAATATGAATAAAGAAATAAGTTGCATCATATTGTAAAAAAGTTAAAATAATCATCATTGTTTCTCTGTTCCAAATATATATTCTGAAGTAAAGAAAATCTTTAAAAAGTCTAACTGTAAAAAAGTAAAATTTAAAATTATCTTGTGCTGTGTGAATTAGGTTCAATATATTCTTTAGGCCAATGATTCCGAAACTTTTTTGAGCCACTGCCTCCTTGGTTCCATAAACTTATACCCAATACCCCTCAATCAAATCCCAAAATCCCTAACTTGGCCTAGCAGTGGCCAAGCAGTCTTCATTCCCTAAACACTGGGAGTTTGGTTGTGGGTTCACACCTCGCTTGGACGGGCTGGCCATGTGAAGTTTTCAGGGTTTTCTTCACATCTGTAATGCCTAAATAGGGGCCAGTTTCCCTTAAAAAAGATCTCCCAGAAGGCATCCCCCTAGGCAGATCACCCATGTTGCATTGCCATTAAAAAAAAAACCCTAACCTATTTTACCTTATGTGAGAAAGCTTGGAAATATTCTTAGAAAAAATTTTTTTATGAACTTTATTCTTTGGGTCCTTACTGTACATTGTTCTCCACATCTGGAGACCATTAATTTGCAATGTTTCTTCTTACCTGTTTTAATAGAGGAAAGGAAAGTGTCAGTGACCCCAACCCTTTCCTATGGGTTCTGTTCAGTCAGAATCTTTACTTAGTGCTCCCAATTGCACCCTCTCTTCTTTTCATACCCAGTACCCACTTTGGAAACCACTGATTTAGGCTCTCAAAGGATGCATAAATAGTAATTTATGTAGACTACACAGTGATTTTGTAGTCTGTGCATTAATTTGATTTTGGTAAGGGTGGGCAAAACAAACATTTTTTGTCAGAAAACATAGGGTTGGGGATGTGGTGTACTTGGTGGTGAATATAAAGTTAGAAATGCTGTACTGCATGCAACATATCACCCTGCTGGTGGAGGTTTCTTGGAAAGCATATGGTTTCAGCACAGTTGCCCAGCACATTTTGCAGGCAGTACTCCTGAACAACATTTTTCCCCACAGATAGGCTGTGGTGGGACTGATGATTGGTCACTAAAACCACCAGACCTCACCAATCTGATTTACTACTTCTGGAGACACTTAAGTATGTTAGTATATGCCACACTAATGAATGATGAGGAAGATCTGATGAACAGGATTTTGGGTGCTGCAGACATGATTTATGATACTCCTAGGATCTTTGAGAGAATCTGACAGTTAATGGTTTGTTACTCTGCATGCTGTTTTCAGGTCAACAATGGACATCTTGTAACTACATATAGAGTAGTAACATCTATATCTGGCAGAGTGGTATGTTGCATGATGCCATGTAAACTGTTTAACTTGAAAGATAAACATTTTTGGGAATTTATTACTTGCCATTTTACAAAAAGAAATTCCTAAAGTAGAAAGAAAGACTAAGGAATCAGAATTTTTTTAAAAGTACTTCTGTCTGATAAGCAGGGCTGTGGAGTCGCGTAAAAATCTACTGACTCCGACTTTTCCTTACCATCCGACTCCGACTCCGGCTAAAACACCTAAACTCCACGACTCCGACTCCACAGCCCTGCTGATAAGACAAAGTTAAAATATTACACATATATTGGAAATTTTAAATTTTGCTTTGAACTATTAATGGTTAGTACTCCTAAGCACTTTCATTTCATTTCTGTAAAATCAGCTTATAGTGGCAAAGATTGATTAATAATTTTCAATTGTTTTAGCTGAATATGATATTAATTATGTATATTAATTTTAATCTTGAGTTATAAATCTCATTTATTATGGAACTATTTTTGTTTCTATTTTAAGAATTTGACTTTTTTTTGAACTGGTAACTATTATTTCATGACGATTATAGTTTAGTAATTATGTAGAAGAGTTTTATCTTTATGCAATTTCATTAAATGTATTTTGTAAAATATTTATGAAAATTATATAGAGAATATTATTTGTGATATTAAAATATTTATTTTGAAAAAATGTATTCTGATAATTAACATAAAAAATTAGATTCTGGGGAAGAGGAAGAAGAAGGTGAAGCAACAGACACTGAAGAAGGTGAAAATACTGAGAAAAGTGCAGGTAAATCTTAACATTTTTGTAAAAGTTAGGGAAGAAATAATTCTATTTTGAGAATGCATGTATATATAATGCATGTATATACATGCATTATATACATATATACATGTATATACATATCGTTGATCCACAAGAATAGTGACACAACTCAAAAATTTCCAATTTCAAGTTTATTATAGAAATGTATAGCAAACTCCCCCTATTTTTATGTGGAAGAACGACATATCATATATAGCCATATATGATATGTCGTTCCATATATGATACTTCCAAAAATGGATTTTCGGAAGTAGTCATATATGATATGTCATTCTTTCACATAAAAATAGGGGGAGTTTGCTATACATTTCTATAATAAACTTGAAATTGGAAATTTTTGAGTTGTGTCACTATTCTTGTGCACCAATGATATATAAATACATACATATACACTAAAAATATTGATAAGATTATTTTATAATTTATAATGTTAATCTCTTCAGCAATATTATTTAAAGAGCAATAGAGTTATATATTGTATGAATTGGATATCAATAGAAAATTTCACAATTGTAAAAATCCTAAATACAGTATAAATAAGGTAACAGATTTTAAACATAGTTTATAACATTCAGTATATAAATTTACCATTAAGTAATATGTTATGAGAAAAAATTATAAAGCACATGTTTCATCCAATAATTTTATTATTAAACAAAATTAATAGATAAAATTCTTTATAGCAAATGAAAAGAACATTATTAAAAATATATGATTGAAACATAAAATGAAAATACACACTCTCTCCTCTCTCTCATTAAACATCACAGATATGTGTAAATAATTTTCTGAAATTTCTCATAGTGTGCAAGATTTAATCTATTAAATCTTGCATCTTAGTATAGGTTTCTCTAATAAATCTTATCTGCTAGTCATATGTATTTTTTTCATTACATTGTCTTAATGCAGTAAAGTCCATTTAATAGAACTTTGGATAAAGGAGCAGTTTTCTTAAAATAGCACTCTTCCTTGTTTCCAATTTTCTCCCTTGTATTTTATATATAGCAGGATGCCTGTTAATGAACACTAGATAGTAGAGCAGTCCATTTAAATGAGCATTTTTTCTGCAGCATTTTTAGAAGTTCACATAAGGGAGCAGAATTCTAAGAAAGATTTATTAGGTTTTATATTTTTAATCTGATGATAAATCATCACTTAGGGCACATGGTAATAGTTCTTTCTATACTATGGCATTTGTTGAAATATGTGGAAAGTATAATTAACCCTGGGGTAGTGCAGTGGGGTGTTTCGCAACCCCCGACGTTTTATAAGTTGCACTATTCATAGATTTCGCAAGAAATATTTGTGTCCTCTTCAGTAGCTTCATGATTTTATGTATAGACTGCAGAAATTCCAGTAAGAGAAAAACAACAGTTCTCAGTGGGGTGTCCAATCACCCCACAGTATTAATTACGTTTTTTTAAAAATTTTACAAATAATTATTTAGGTTTTTTTATTTTTCAAATAACTATAATGTGACCACATTTATTATTTATAATATAGATATAATAATCAATGTGAATGAAAATAATTTAAGTTTATTTTAATTCAAAATGGCTGACTTTCATAAACACATTGAGAAAATATCAAACATAGCAAGTTGCTTTTCATCTGCAATGAGTGCCAAAGTACAATGTCAGCTATTGAATCAGAGTGACAAAAATGCTTAAAAAACAATTTAGATTATTACTATTGGTTTAATAATAAGATCTAATGTAATGAGTTTTGATAAATGTTGTTTTTTATTTTCATGGATTTATGTACTAATATAATATGTAATCATACCTGAATATAATCATATGTATATTGACACATGCCTTTACCAAATAAATGAGTAAATCTTTATGAATTTTTACTTACATGGTTTATGGACCCAAAAAAATGTCGGGGTAGACAAACGCCCCACTGCACTAATGCCGAAAAAAAACTCTGTGCACTAACGCAGGGTTAAAAAATATAGTTAAAAGTAAACAAATGAGGAAGGTGAAGAGGTTGAATAAGACAAAATGGAAATTGTTTGTGAATCAACAAAATTCGTTTTTCTTAAAGATGGTGAGAATATATTTAGGGGAAATTTTATCAAATGTAATGCACTTAATGAGATCAAAGAGGTAGTTGAAAAGAAAGCTATAAGCAATCATATTCAAAAGAAAATTGCAGACTTTTTAAATAAATTTATTTAGGTTGTTTATTGCATAAATAGTTATGATAGTGCATATAATTCATTTCTATATTTGTAAATTATTGTAATAAAATTTGTTAGAAAATAACTTTATTCTTGTAGTACATATAGTATAAAATGTTCTAATAGGACATATATATAAGACATATATCCTATTAGAAAGTTGCAAACATTTAGAAAATTTGGAACTAGGGTGTTTGCATCTTTTCAGCTTTGCTTCCTACTACATTTCTGGAAAGAAGAGAAAGTAATGTAATTTGTAAATATATTGTATTTACTGATTATTTGCTAAAATAATAAAATTGATATGAGAACAGAAATTAATATGTATGTGCAGTAAAATAGTGATAACAAATTTTAACTTTTTCAAGTGTGTTATAAGTTACACAGAGCTTCTAAGAAATGAAAGTTTGAAAAATTAAAATATGAACAAGCTCTTCAGTGATATTGTTACTTTGGATAAGGCAACATCATGCAGTGATTCCAAGTGTGCTCTCTTAAGCAAATTTCACTCAATTAGATTTCTGTTAAACTGTATTTAGACTAACATATTACCAAATGAGCTAAGGTAGTTTGTTAGCTGCTAATGAGTTTGGAGGTTTTATATGATGATGGCAATGAAAATAGTTTTCTAATGCATTTATTGGAAAAAATTTGATAACTAATATAAATTTGTTATATAAGTGCAATCTAGTGTAATAACGATCACTTGGCACGATTCATTTCTTTATTTCAATTTTCGTTGATACATGCTTACACACATGTTTCGGGCATCATTTGCCCCTCTTCAGTCAACTAAAAATATAAAACCATTTTTACATACACAACAACCCAACACATAAATACAAAAAATACGGATTATACAAGTAGCACATAACATACCTTAAAAATACAAATGCCATCCTTAGATGTATATTACCACAAGTGGGAACCATACAATATACATTGGATACCTAGTGTTTCAATTTTAAGAAAAGGTTTTTTACCTAAAACTACAGCTTAAAAACAAATTGACAAATTCTGCACAGGACATATCCCAAATACTAGGCCAAAGACTTAACTTTAGTTGGTACACACAAGACTTTGACTTTCACAACCAGGGTTTTTGGATTTAAAGATCCCTTAAACTTCCATAAAGTCTTATAAAAAATGAATATAATTAATGTACCTAGTATGTAAATATTATGCTATATGCTTAACTTATCTTTACATACATATTCCCAGAAGACCCTTGGAAATACAAAGGGAAAATTGGAATAGATGTGTAGCACAGTTCTTTCTTCTTTAATGTTAACATCAGTTCGTACATAATCCACAGATCTGAACTTCACTTTGATTAATCTTTTTATTCTTATTTAATGTTAGTGACAGTTCTTACATAATCGACAGAACTAAACTTCACTTTGACGAATCTTTTTGTTCATCTCTCGGCATTTTGTGGCATTTTTCCATATGGTGATTTGCATAATCATGCGTTCTTTTAAAGTGGCGAGCCAAGATTTTAAACTGTTTTTAATCGTAAATTCTAAAAATTTACTTTAACCAAAAAATTTTTTCCTTTCTAAAGTTGCTCCCCAGCAAATTTTCTCTTAAAGAATTTTTTACAGTATTTTTAGCCAATTCTCATTGATTTTTAAACTTAAGTTTTTATTTATACAGTGTTTATTTTTTAAAATTTCTATACTTTCTTTGAATTTTCTATTATAAGTTTCTTTTTCTTTATGTAGGACCTTTACATTATTTTGGTCAATATTGCAGTTTATTGTGCAGTGTTCAAGAAAAGTTGAATTAATTCTGTGATGTTTTAAGTCTGCTACATGTTCTTTTAATCTAATTTTCATCTTTCTCTTAGTTTCTCCTATGTAGAATTTTGTATTTTCACATGTGCATGGAATTTGATATACAATGTTTTTTATCTCATCTACCTGTTGTTTTCCTTTTGATGTAGATTTATTAGTATTTAATCTAGCTAAAAATTTTTTATATTTCAGAGCAAGTTTTACGTTGGTGTTTTTTATCTTTTTATTAATTTCTTCATATTCATATATCTCCTTATTTATTTTGGCTTGCTCTTTATTTTTTCTAGAAGTCTTTTCATTGTCTATTCTATTCATGCCAGAATTCTTTTCATTATTAATTTTATTATTTATTTTATCTTCCGAAATTTTAAGTAATCTATTAGGATATCCATCTAACAGGAATTTCTTATTCAAGTCTTTAACATAATTATATATGTTAATATTTCTACTAGTTCTATTTTTAATTTTATTATATTCCATAGAGAATATATTCTTTTTTATATATAATGGTATATTTGAATTGTATTTCAGGGTTGTTTGTATTGAACAAGATTTTTTAAAAGTTTTCAATTCTAATTTATTTTTCTTTCTTGTAATTGTAACATCCAAGTAATTTATCTCTTGATTAGTTTTTCCTTCTTTTTTCTGTTGTAAATTGTATTGTTTTGGTTATTTTATTAATTACTTTTGTTATTTCTTCTGTTTTAACTTGTGTTTCTTTATATAGAATAAAAATATCGTCTACATATCTCTTATAAAAATATATCCCTGGTATCTCATTAATTTGATTATCAATATCTATCATTACAAGTTCAGCCAACTTTGGACTGATCACAGAACCCATACTATTACCTTGTGTTTGTGTAAAATATCTGTCTTTAATTTCATAATAGTTGCTTCTATATGCAAATTCTATTAATTCTACAATTTCTGGTTCCATATTTATCTGTGTTAGTTTATTTTCAATCATTTCCCAGGTTATT